AACAGATGCTGTTGCTCTATTTTTCTTTCTCTGGGTAAAATGCAAATACCCTTGGAAGCAAATAATGTTCTAAGGAATTTGAGTAGCTTTTATTGAGTGTGAATGTGCTTGAGATGATTTTTGATAGAATAGAGAAGATATTGACAGACATAAATATATTTGGGAGTTAGTAATTAAGGAAGCAAGATAAGATAAAGAGTGGTAGAAAATGCCAGAACGTTGAGGAAGTAAGAGGACACACAGTCCATGTCATGATTTTTCCAACATTTGCCTCTGTTTTCTAAAACAGATTCTGATTCTTGGTTCAACATGTAGCATGGAAATCACCATGCTTGGAAATCACCAAGTATTTATTCTCTGCCTTCATAAAAATTAGATATTTTTCTTAAAAGTCTTTACTCCCAAAGAAGAACTTTCCAGATCAACCCAAGTCCATTGACACCTTATGTGTGTGTGTGCTAAGTTGCTTCAGTCGTGTCTGACTCTTTGTGACCCTAAGGACTAGAGCCCATCAGGCTCCTGTGTCCATGTGCCTCTTCACGAAGCAATACTGGGGTGGGCTGCCATTTCCTACTCCCAGATTGACACCTTATGGGCTAGGATTTTGTCTGCACCATTTTTCATTCCTAGGGAACACAGGGCTCAGTAATCCTCGGTGGAATGAATGAGCAAACGTCAATCAACTGCTGTTTGTCCAAGGTTTCACTGCTACTTCCCTGTATCCGCATTTCCTAGAGTTTTCTCCCATTGCGTGTCAGTTGCCAGGGCAGACTCTTCTTACTTGAGCTCACTTTGGGGTGGCAGCCTCCCCTCCCGATGTGAACGAGGGCATGATCCACAGTGCTTACAGACTGATTTCTGGCAGCTATCCAGGGGTATTCCATCAAAGAAAAACCACTCTATGGCTAAGAGGGGTCCTACCTAGTGCTTGCTATTTTGCACCCCCAACTTATAAAATTTAACTAGCTTTAATTTATGAGTAAATAATTGTCTGATGATTATGAATATTTCATGCAGAAGTCCCTTTTCATGTCTTACCAAATATTGAGCTTTTGTACTTTAACATGAAGTTTTCCTGAGATTCAGCTTGTGAATGTAAATCTGGAATTGATGTGAGCTGTGAGAAGAAGCCAAGGAAAATAAGCTGTCATCTTGCAAAAAAAAAATCCTTCAATGATTTATGTGTTTGGCTTCGACTTTGGGTTATCATTACTAAAATATTTGAGCTACGAGATAGCTGAGCTGTAGTCTTTATTAGAGACCTTTAAATTATTAACCAGACTTCTAGCTAATTTGCCAAATCATGAAATATTATCTGGAAAAAGTGGGCAAAGGTGGTGGAGGGATCTTTGAATCACGAAATCATGTTTTAATAAAAGGCGATGGTACAAATATATTGATTAAAGAAGTTAATTTTGTAAACTTAACTTGAAATTTGGGAATATAGTTGTCCTCTGGTCCCTGTGTATAGCTCTTTCCTGGTGGCTCAGAGGGTAAAGAATCCGCCTGCAACAAAGGAGACTCGGGTTCGATCCCTGGGTTGGAACGATCCCCTGGAGAAGGGAATGGCTGCCCACCCCAGTATTCTGGCCTGGAGAATTTCATGGACAGATGAACTTGGTGGGAGATAGTCCATGGGGTCACAAAGAGTCAGACATGATGAGTGATTCACACACACACACACATACACACACTGTTTATAAAGCTGAATGGTCATCTGGAAATCTGTCAAGTATATTCAAGAGCAATACCAATCATGTTTTTAAAAAGAGAATTACCTCAAAGACATTATTTTCTAAATGTTTCTTGGATCATGTTCTAATGACATGTATTACTATATTCCTCATTTCACTGTGTGTATCATTATGACTGTACAGTATTTGAACATGGATATTTAAAAATATGTCCAACTATTTGACTAAGGAAAAGACACTGAATATGAACTGTAACAGTAAGAAATATTATGATTGAGAACAACCACACACACTTATGCAGTTGTCACTTTTTAAGGGCAGACTTTTAGCTCTGGAAAACAGCCTATATAATGGGGTCTATTCATCCGCTATATTTCTTTATGAAATTGTAAAAGGTGACCTGGAGACTTTGGTGATACAGAACTCTGTAGATAAAACTTCCAAAAATTCAGAGAACAGATGTATGAGCAAGTTCATCCTAAAGAATATGCAGTTTGAGAATACCCAAAGCTGTCATTAATGTATCTTCCCATTCATTTGCTCATCTTATACAGATATATCAGGGATAAGAAAAATGGTCCTACCCTTATGTAGTAGAAAAGTGGAACGTTCTCCTGGGGAGAAAAGATGCATACATAAGAGGCTAGCAAAACAAGAAAGCACAGGTACCAAGTTAATATTGTGAAAGTAGCATGAGATTCTGTAATGAGTGGGTGGCAAGGAAAAATGGAAAGTAAGAACAGGAAGAAGTCCTTCAAAGAAGAACTTGAGCTAAGTTCTTAGAGAGTAGTTGCTTTCATAAAAGTAGAGAGAACGAGAGAACAGAGAAATATTATAATAGGGTAACTAGTTCAGAGATAAGGGTGTGGATGACATTCTTTAATTTAAAAAAGTCAGGCTAGCTTGAAAATATGTGCAAAAGGAGAGTTGTGCAAGTTACAAACAGAATTTTGAAATAAAGTTTGTGTAAACATGCAAATGGATTTAGACACAAAATAGATCAAACGTGCAATTTCCTTACTGATTCTCTGTCTGAATGCCCTAGCCCTTATTGAGAGTGAGGCCCCTGACTAAAATGAACTGCTGTTTCTTTCCACTTTTAGCTCTTTTAGGGTTTGCTTTATGTATTTACGTGTGCCACTATTGGAAGTGTATTTGCAACCATTGTGTCTTCTTGATGGGACTTTATTTGTCTCTTTTTAAAGTCTATTTTGTCTAACATAAGTGTAGCTGCCCCTGCCTTTGTTTTGCTATCATTTGCTTAAAATATCTTTTTCCATTCTTCACTCTCAGTTTATGTATTTCTTTACAGTGGGTCTCTGTAGGCAGCATATCCTCAGATCCTGTTGCTTAACCTATAGTCGTTTCATGCCCTTGATTAGAGAATTTAACCTGTTTATTTATTGTGAACTGTTGTCTGATAAATACTTACTAGGGCTTCCCAGGTGGCTCAGTGATAAAAGAATCTGCCTGACAATGCAGGAGATGCAAGAGACTCGGGTTCAATCCCTGGGTCGGAAGATCCCCTGGAGGGCAGGGCAACCCACTCCAGTGTTCTTGTCAGAGGAGTCTGGCAGACTACAGTCACAGAGCTGTAAAGAGTAAGACATGACTAAGCATGTACGCAAAGATTCACTATTGCCATTTTGTTCATTGCTTTCTTGGTTTTTTTTGGGGGGGGGTAGATTCATTGTTTTTTATCCTGCTGTCTTCTTTCTTTTAACATCAGTGCTTTAAGTTCTTTATCAAGTTCTTTCCTGTAATTGCTACAGTTCCCTTGTGGCTGTCATGAGGCTTATGTAATCTCAAAATCATAGCACTTTAAGTTGGTAACAACTTAACTTTAATAGAATTCCTAAACTTTACATTTTTATTTCTCTTCCCCCTCACATTTTTGTTATTACTATTACAATTTACATGTTTTAATATTGTGTAACTAATAGGAGATTATTGTATTTATTGTTATTATTGCTATATTCATTTTTTCAACTTTCAAATTACAGTGGTTAGTGAATTATGCACCACCACGACCAGATGCAAAACCTAACTTTGTGTATTTAGCATTCCCAGTGAATGTTGTGTTCTCTTTCTCAGGTTTTTCTGATGTTAATTAGTGTCATTGTTTTCCCCTGGAAGAACTCCCTTCAGAGATTCCTGCAAGGCAGGTACAGAGGCAGAGAGCTTCCTCAGCCTTTGATTTTCAGAAAAGTCTTTCTTTTCCCTCTATTTCTGCAGGATGGCTTTGCCAGGTATAGAATTTTCGATAGACTGATTTTGTTTGTTTGTTTGGCTTTTTTTTTTTTGCTTTCAATATTTGTATATGTCCTTTTATTCTTTCCCAGTTTGGAAAGTTTCTGTTGAGAAATCCACCAATACTCTTATATGGATTCCCTTGTATGCAACTTTTCTCTTTAGTCTGACTGCTTTTTAAAATTATTTTTCTTTGACTTTTGATCATGTAATTATAACACGTCTAAGTGTAGACCTGTTTGGGGTCCTTCCGGCATCCTAGTCTGGAGGTCAGTTTCTCTTCCTAGGTTTGAGAGGTTTTCAGCCATTATTGATCTAAGTATATGTTCTGTCTCTTGCTCTCTCTCTCCTTCTGGAATTAACAAAATGTAAATTTTGTTTCTTTTCATTGTGCCCTGTAAATCCTGTAGATGTTCTTCACCCCATTTTATTCTTTACTCTTTTTGTAGTTCTGACTATGTAATTTTGAGTATCTTTCAGGTCAATGATACATTTACTGCATTATTGAGTTTAGTTCTGAAAAAAAGCCTCTATTGAATTATTCAGTTTGAATATTTTTTCAACTGTAGGTTGCTGTTTTCTTAAAAAAAAAAAAAAGTTTCCATTCCTTTGTGGAACTTCTCATTTTGTTCATGCATTGCTTCCCTAATTTTAATTTGTTGTCTATCTGTGTGTTTTTTTTTAATTCACTAAGCTTCCTTAAAACTATTATTCTGAATTACTTGTCTGAAAGTCGATACATCTCCATTTCTTTAGGGTTAGTGATTGGAAACTTATTGGTGTCCTTTGGTACCATTGTATTTACCTGATTTTTCATTACCCATGATTGCTTTCCTGTGTCTGCTCATTTGAGTGGTCAGACTCTTCCAGATGTCACAGGTCTGCGTTGGCAGAGACCTTCCTTCAGCCCTTGGCTCAGACTGGGGGTCTTGCTGTGCCTGTTGGTGACGTCCTTGGGCAGTTACCCACTCTGTTCTGCAGAGAAGCGAGGCCTCCCCTGGGGATACTGCCTGAGCAGCGGGGGCCGGCACGAGTCCTCTCCCCCTGTCTCTCCAATCAGGTGTCCAGTGGCTGAGCCTTGCAGATGCCTCTGCAATCCCGGGGGTGTGGAGGGGAGGTCGGAACAGAAACAGGGGTTCTGCAGGTGACCCACCTTCCCGTGTGGCTGCTGGTCCTTGCTGGGCCCCGGTTTCCCGCTGGAGGAGCACAGACTTGGGGAGACCTCTCTTGGGGGAGGGCGGCGCGGTCAAGTTGAACCACTTTTCTTGCCTTCCAATGCAGTCTGTCTTGGTCTCTGAGTGTATGGGGCTCTTCAGCCTCAACACCAGGCTCCAGGATTCTCTCAGCAATGTCTTCTTCATCAGTAGCTGTTAGTTGTTCTTCCTGTGAGGGGAGCAAAGTCTGGAATGGCTTATCTTGCCACTCTGGGTGTTTGCTATTAAGAACAGATGTCCAAGATGAGAAAGGAATTGCCTAGGAAATTAGACCTAGTTTCATGGAGATCAATGTCCTTAGCAGTTTTCTTACAAACGATTATATCCTGTCTGAATGTGTGATCAGAGATCCTTCCGTCTCTTCCATGAGTGACACGGAAGAACTCGACTCCATCTGTATGAGAATCTCTGGGGTTAAATATCCAGGCCACGGGAGAGGCTAGTTACCCATGGGACGCCCCTCCGTTACCCTCCATACATCGCATGTGCATCTCATCCTAATAATTTAGGAGTTCTATATAAAAAAAAAATGACTGTAAAAAAACAGATAAAGAGAGCAAACGAGTGGTTCCCAGTTGGGAGAGGGATGCGGGGAAGGGCAAGTTAGGGAAATGGGCAGAAGAAGCACAAGGTGCTAAAAAATAGGCAAGTTTTCTAATAACTCAGAAATATATATTATAATTATAATAATAAATAATACAAATAAACAATTCTACTAATATAATACACCACAGGGAATATAGCTAACATTTCATAACAATCTTAGATGGAGTATAGTCTATGAAAAAAGTTGAATCATTGTTGGATACTGGGAAAAAATATAGATCAACTATACTTTAATAATATATATACCTGCTCAAAAAGAATAAAAATACCTGGATGAAATTCATTCATTCAGCCAATACTTCCTGAGGCCCTGTTGCTTGCCTAATCCCAGATCGCATGCTGAAAATAAAGCGGTGAAGAAAGTGGATATGCTCTGAGCCCCAGGAATTTATAGACCAGTAGTGATGTCAAGTGGCCTTGTCCTGCAATGACTTGGAGCAGGGCTTGGGTTCCCAGCCAGAGACGGGCTGGATCGTGGTGGCGAAAGCTCCAGATCCTAGCCCCAAGACCAGGGTCCTGGCCCTTCAGTTGTGCAGAAAAGAATTTTCACACAGATGGAAAGTGATGAGACAGTGAAGTATTTATTAGGAGGGGGATAATGTACAGTATGTGCAGATAGACACACAAGCAGACTCACAGAGAGACAGTCTCCGAGCGTGCCCTGGCGGCAGTCTGAAATACTTTCACGGGGCATTCCTTCCGGTTTTCCTTTGGCCAATCATCTTGATTTGCCTCGTTCATAGCCCATATCTGGTGACTCTCAGGACCCTCCCACGTGGGCGCACACATCTCTTAGTCAAGATGGATTTTAGCGAAAAGGCATCCAGGTAGAGCATCCCTTGACGTAACTCTTTGACCCCAAGGAGGCTTTCTGCTCACGTGGAGTCAGGGAAGTCTCCTGACTTCAAGAAAGAGAAATACGTGGCCTTTGCAGGGCCCAGCCTCCTGTCTTAATTGTCCTGCTATTCTCGTCTTGGAGTTTCGGTCCACAGGGAATGAATCTCCAATAGCTTTATCCGGGGGGGTGGGGAGCATCTGTCTCCTGCCTCAGTAGGATTTGAAACCTTCTTTATCGTTAAAATTTCTCTTAATGCTTCTCATGCTATTTGACTCGTTGTTGCCTCTTGCTTCATCGCACTACAATTTGTCCTAAATAGTGCTTCTGGCTTAAATTTCATAAAGCATAAGTTTGAGCACCTGTTTTTCATAATTAAAAATCCTTAGTAGCGACCTATAACTTGCTTTTTATATTGGAAAAGCAAATATTCATTTGTCTGCACCGGGTTCTAGTTGCCCGACATGGGGTCTTCAGTCTTAGCTGAGGCCTGGGCGGGCTCTCGGTTCTGGCACGTGGGGCTCAGTTCCCTGAGCAGGGATTGAACCTGGGCCCCTGCACTGTGAGCACGGACTCTTGGCCGCTGAACCACCAGGAAAACCCTTCCCTATATCTTGTTAACTGAAGAATCATCTCAGCCTGGTCTCAACATCACATTCCTAATGTGCCTTTCTAGGCGTCTCTCTCTAGATAGTGAATTTCCAGGCATATCTCATTAGCCTGTGGGTTCCATGAGGAAAGTAATTAAATCACACACATTTTCATTTTTGTCATCCTATTCATTTGGTGACTGTTTTCTATTTTCTCCTTGTACTCTGGCTTCTAATCTAATTCTGGTTCTTCTGATTGAAATACCTCCTTTGCCAAGTAGTCAAGTTGTGTTTCAAATACCAACATCTTTTAAAAATATGTGTTAATTCCTATCTCCGACCCAAAGTACTAGTTCCCTCATTTAAAACCCCAGAACAGTTCTGTGTATTGCTATGTACTTCAGCTTCAGTTTCAACTCTTTGCCTTTTGAGGATTTATAAAATAATTAATAACAGTGAAAAGCATAATAGGCCAAGGCAAATAATTATAAACTTGTTAGGCAGAGATTGGCAGCAAAAAAACAAACTCTGTAAATGCTTTCAGACGTGCTTGATAAAAATTTTAATTTCCTGATCTTTTAGCTATCTACAGTTGAAACAGAATAAAAATTAATGGTGGTTCTGGTGTAGTAAAAATGAAAGTTGCTCAGCCATGTCTGACTCTTTGTGACCCCATGGACTATAACCCACCAGGCCCCTCTGTCCATGGAATTCTCCAGGCAAGAATACTGGAGTATTGCCATTCTCTTCTCCAGGGGATCTTCCTGACCCAAGGATCAAACCCAGGTCCCCTGCTTTGCAGGAAGATTCTTTACCATCTGACCACCAGGGAAGCCCAGTGAGCCTAATTCTGAGGGACATGATCAGATTAAAAGCCCCATGGGCTTAGAGGTAGATTAGCATGAGTAAGAGCTTCAGAATCAGTCAACTGAAATGACTGATTAGAAATATTATGTAGAAACACTCCTTTACAACATTCAAGAGAAACACACTGTTAATATGTAAATATGTCATCTATTATCTACTTTAGAGCTTCTATTGAAAAGGACAAAATAAAACTAATCTCCTTCCTTCCTTCAACATTAGTAACTTTTGGTCCTTGTCATGAAACATGAGGAAACTGATCCTCAATCCAGTGAGGAAAATGGAGAATTATAGTAAACGGCCATCCTTCCTCCTGAAGACTTTATTCCTTTCCATAAGGTTCATCCTCCCCAGTGTAAGCCATCTCTCTGCTCCTACAGGATAGGAATGTAAATAATTTTCAGAAGAAACTGGGATGTGCTTTCATGAACATCACCATCACTAGTACAAGAACATGTTCATTTTCTTTCATGTCTTTATCCTCAGTATTTAGCACAAAGTTGGTCCAGGTAAATGGTAAACATTTGTTGAACACACAAACTTACAAAAAATGAAGATATATTTTTCTAGAAAGAGTTACAAATTTCCAGCTACAGAATGACTAAGTCCTGGGGATATAATGTAATGCACAGAAGAAGTATAGTCAATAATATTGTAACAGCTTTGCATGGTGACTGATGGTAACTGGTTTCACTGCTGTGATCATTTCATAATTCATAAAAATATTGAATCACTATGTCATACACCTTAAGCTAATAAATTATTATATGTTAATTATAACTCAGTTAAGGGAAAAAAAAGTGATATTGGGGTTAATGCAAAACTCCTGGGGGAGGGGTGGGGAGGCTCACACCCCGTGAGAGAGAACTCTGTCTCTTCAGGCCTGAAAAGTGTTTCTCTTGTAGCTGGCCCTTGGAACAGAACTGGAACTTTGGGAAGACTATCAGGTAACATGTTTTAAATCTAGTCCTACCATTATGTTACCAGATTATCAGATTAAAACCTCTGGGTTTTTCTACCTACAAACTCCTCTAAAGTTTGTATTTAGTTTATACAGCTGAATAAGTTTACATAGATAAAGGTACTTTCTTGGTAAAATTACTGTTGGAATGAATACATTCATGAAATGCCACAAGTCACATTGTGTTTCTAAGAGATTTAGCTGTTGATAAATTGGAGACTACGGTAACAGCTTATTGGGCTGAAGAAAGTCACTGGATGTCTGAACTGGCTGGATGAGTTGTTTCTTTCCTTGGCTTCTATTATGCACCTGGCTTTGAGTCATAGTTAAATGCAGTTTCTCAAATAAGTGAAACCCATTTGACCTGAAAGAAATCTTCCCAAGCTGGAGGTATTTTAGAACTCATTATAGAGCAAGGAATCTGTTGTTTTAAAAATGACAGGAGAATATATATTTTGAAAGAGTTCTTACATTCTTGAGGAAGGAAAATGTTGCCTTATCATTTAATTAAGAGTGCAGAGATTATTTATCCCTTGATGGTTCTTAGCTAAATGCCCTTACTTAGCTGAAAAGACATTGCCTTAAAAAGTCTCTCAAACAAAATGAGTAAATTCTCATTGGTGTAAAAATTTTGTAATGGAGATTTGGTTTTTTGTTTATTTTTTACTTTTTATTTTATGATATTTTTAGAATTGCAGAAGAGTTGCAAAACTAGTACAAAGAATTCCCTTTATCCCTTCCAACCTGGCTCTCTTTAAAAAAAATAATAATTTTTGTGGAGTTGATTTGCAATGTTGTGTTAGTTACAGGTGTGCAGCCAAGTGACTCTGGCCCTTTTAGTGTTAATGTTGTATGCAGCTCTAATATAATGATCCTCTAAGGAGTCAACATTGTTTGATGCCACAGACTTTTTTCTAAACCAGAGACCTTTTTCATTTTGCACCCTGTTTCAGGATCTAATCCAGGTTCTCACATTGCGTTTATTTTCATGTTACCTTGGTCTCCTCCAACCATGAGAGTCCCTCAGATTTTCCTTGTCTTTCATGACCTTGAGACTTTTGAAGAGTACTGAATGGCTATTCCGTACAATGTCCATTGTTGGTTCATCGTATGTTTTGTCATGACTGCACTGGATTTAAGCAATGACGTGCTTTTCTGTGTGTTGGATCAAGGGTACATTACGCCAAAATGTTTTGTTGCTGATAATGTTAACTTTTATCCTTAAAGTGGTATCTTTCTAGTTTCTTCCCTGTCAAGTTACTATTTTTCCCTTTGCAATTTATAAATAATTCTTTTAGAGATGCTTTGAGGCT